CACCTACCTAAATCCTGCATAATATTTGGTTCCTACTTTCTCTGTTGAAAACTACTGCAAAACATCAGATGTGGGAATTCAACACATCACTCTGAAGGTCCAGAGTCACCAAGAGAACGCTTGGGGGGCTCGGAGACCTTGGAATGTTGCCAAAAGTGTCTGGTGGCTTGACTTTGATCCATCTAGAGATGAAACATCTGTGTATGAGGAAATGAGAAGTTCTAGGGTGTGAATAGTGTATTTACAGGATGAAGAATAGATTTTAGAAACTGGGTACAGAGGGGTCATGAAGACAAGATGGAGACAAATAACAGCGAACCCCAATAAGCAGACTCCCCAGTCAGAGGCATTTTGGGGATTTTGCACTCCTTTTGAGCCACCTCAGGAGTCAGGGATATGTTTTTGGAACATCTGTTCCAGATTTGGAATCTCATCCCCTCTCTGTTCTCCCTCCACCTTCCCAAAAAAAACCACACAAAGCATAACAATGAAAATCAGTCAGCTCCTCAAAGGAGTTCACAGCAACTCCCTTGTGCTCAGCAAGCCAAAGGTCTCGGAGCGGGTCACTTCCCTTACCTGCGGCCGAACCGCGCAGAGCCCTCCGCGGCGGCTGCGCCTCCGCCGGCTCCGGGCAGCCCCCGCCGCCGTCCCGCCCGCGCCGCTCCGCTCGGTGCCCGCCACGCTCCGGGGCCGGTCTCCCGAGAGTCATTAACTTGGGAATTTTTGCTCTTCCGACCAGTAGTTGTAGCTGGGCTCTCAAAGCTGTCCTGCCTTCCAGATGCCGGAAGTATCCTGATTGTTAAATACCCAACAGAGCAAACTGTTTTGGCCTTGAGCTTCGGTGTGACACCATGTTCAGTCCTGGGACGAAGCCCTGCACAAACAATTTCTAGCTGTCAAATCCATACCTGAACCTTTCTCCTCAGGTTTAATTTCCCCTCCAATCCCTTCCTAAAAAGGACAGGAGAGATTCGTGCCCAAAGGATTCATAATCCAGAGCAGCTGAAGTACAAAATGCTCCCAAACTCCGAAGCTCCAAAACAGTCTGACCTCGGCTGTCCCATCCCTGGCTCTTCCCACAGAAAACTTGAGATAAAGCCCTGCACACTGAACCTGCTGCTGAACTGATGGAAGAGATGCTGTCCTGTCTTGGCTCTGCTGCAAAGTTTCTGGTCTAAAGTTTCTCTGTCCTGAAGTTTCTGGTTTCAAACCCCAAAAAGTTGAAGGTCATTTAAGAAGTGACCAATCTGCCCCAGTGCCTGGGACCATTTCAGGCGCCCAGTTTCAGATGATAGTCTTGTGTATTTGATCTGGAACCTTGTCTAATAATCCCCTGAAAATCAAGAAAAAGCAAACTCCTGTTTCTTTTCCAGTGGACAAGCAAGCTTTCAATAAAATTTCATATACCTATGAGGGTGAAAATGTAATTAGCTACAGGAACCTCTCCAGCGTGAACTTCAGAGATGTGTCAGTGTGGATCTGGAAATCACAAAGAGCAGTGTTACAAATCAGAAGATGCTGCATATTTTATGTAAAATGTGAGCAAGAATCACATCAGGGTCAGTTGGAAGAATCCATACCATGGCAATCGCATAGCTGCTTGAAAAGATTGGGTGTTCCCGACCATTGTCTTACCATTACTCTAAATCATTGCTGTCATCAAAAGCAGGACAGGAAAGGTTACACTTTGTTTTGTTTTGTTTTTTTTTTTAAAGACAATCTAGGAGTAGGCAGTAAACTACTGTAAATGCAACAAGCAAGGCAGCCCTGAAAACTGTTATGATTTAAAAAGTTCTAAAGGTGGGGGTTCATAAAGGAGCACTGTCATAAAGACCTAAGTGGTTATGAGTAACAGAGAGACAGAAGATAAGAAACAACTCTTTGCTGGCTCCTCCAGCTCCACAAGCAGCAATCCACAAATCAAACAGAAATCTGCAAATGAAACTAGCAGGAGCCCAAAAGAGGAGAGGCAGCTCTTCCTGCAACAATTTTCCTAGGAGTCAGCCTGTGTCCATTGCTGCCCCCAGCAGAAGGGGCATCCTGAACACCAGAGGGGCTGGAACACAAATTCCATGGAGAATGAAGTGTGGGCAGCCCAGAGCTGTTCAGAGCAAACCTTTAGAAGCTGATTGTAGCTTGCTGAAACAACACTAAGCTCACCTGGCTTTTTGTTTGATAAGGGATTCATCATCTCTTCAATGATACTGAAAACAGTATCTGATACTGGAACTGCATTTGTAGATTAAAAAAAAAAATCTTAAAATTTTTAAAGACCTAGCAAATCAAATATATATAAAGCTCAAGGGAAGAGGAGAGGCAGACATTGATCTTTTCTGTCTTGTGACCAGTGACAAGACCCAAGAGAATGGAGCTGGGCCAGGGCAGGCTCAGGCTGGAGATCAGGAAAAGGTTCTTCCCTCAGAGGGTGTCAAGCACTGAACTGGCTCCCCAGGGAATGGTCACAGCTGTCAGAGCTCCAAGAGTGTTTGGATGACACTCTCAGGCAGAGGGTAGAATTTTTGGGTGTCTGTGCAGGGCCATGAGTTGCACTCTGTGATCCTGGTGGGTCCCTCCCAACTCAGGAGACTTCACAAGTGTATAATTAAGAAATCAATTTGCTTATCCTATTGTGACAAGGAGAAGTCTAAGGATGGAACCACTCCTCTCACAGACTTTCTATCCGCTCATGTGAAAGGATTTTGCTAAATATTAAAGGCCCAGTGGTATTGCCTTCCCTATCTGTAAGGTTTATGAAAGCAGCAATGTTTGAAATCAGATTTCCCTGTTTAAAAGCATTGCACATTACTGAGCTGTTTAGAGTTCAGAGTCCTGCTGCTCACCTTAGAGCATCTTTGAGGACAGCCTGATAAACTTCATTGTTACCCATTATCAGTGTTACCCAAGAGCCCATTAATTATGTGGCTTTCTCTCTGTTGTGCCAAGGTTCCCTGAGTGGTGTAGGACACATTACAGATGTTGGGTCATGTACACTTGGAATCTGCAAATTCCAGGAAAGAAGAGTTACCACCCAGACAGGGTCAGCACTGTGGCAGCAACAGCCAAGGTAGAGCTTTCCCACAGAACTTATCATTTCCAAAGATTATGTGATTATTTCTGGTGGTTTTGACAGGAAAACAAATGAATAATAAAAAGTTATGTATAGTGAGAACTTACCTTTAACAGATCAGGCATGCTGAGGTACTGTATTCTCTTTTCTGTCCCACTTTGGATCATGAACAGAAACCCTGTTGTGAGCAGTCACTAAAATTACTTTAGCCTTTTATGCTTGTGAGTAAACCAAATTTTCCAGTATTCTGAAAAGTGTTAAGATCCACAGTAAATTCAGAACTACAAAGCACCACAGGAAAAAAACCTGGAATCAGTCTCTACTGTAGACCCATGCAAGAGCACTGTATCTGACCATACCCTACAAGGGAACCCCAAAAGCACAGAAAGGATTCTCCCTCCTCCCAGAACATCAAGTGACAAATGTTCATAGGTACTCAACTATTTAGGTCAAAAAAGACCTTGGAGATCAAGTCCAGCTTTAACCCAGGACCAACAAATCCATCACTACCCTCTGTCCATCAGTGCCACACCTGCACATCTTTTAAACACCTCCAGGAATGACAATTTCTCCACTGCCCTGGGCAGCCTCTGCCAATGCTAGATAACCTTTTTCTACCCCAATGCGAGGACAGCCTGATAAACCTCATTGTTACCCATTAACAGTGTTACCCAAGCGCCCATTAATTATGTGGCTTTCTCTCTGTTGTGCCAAGGTTCCCTGAGTGGTGTAGGACACATTACAGATGTTGGGTCATGTACACTTGGAATCTGCAAATTCCAGGAAAGAAGAGTTACCACCCAGACAGGGTCAGCACTGTGGCAGCAACAGCCAAGGTAGAGCTTTCCCACAGAACTTATCATTTCCAAAGATTATGTGATTATTTCTGGTGGTTTTGACAGGAAAACAAATGAATAATAAAAAGTTATGTATAGTGAGAACTTACCTTTAACAGATCAGGCATGCTGAGGTACTGTATTCTCTTTTCTGTCCCACTTTGGATCATGAACAGAAACCCTGTTGTGAGCAGTCACTAAAATTACTTCAGCCTTTTATGCTTGTGAGTAAACCAAATTTTCCAGTATTCTGAAAAGTGTTAAGATCCACAGTAAATTCAGAACTACAAAGCACCACAGGAAAAAAACCTGGAATCAGTCTCTACTGTAGACCCATGCAAGAGCACTGTATCTGACCATACCCTACAAGGGAACCCCAAAAGCACAGAAAGGATTCTCCCTCCTCCCAGAACATCAAGTGACAAATGTTCATAGGTACTCAACTATTTAGGTCAAAAAAGACCTTGGAGATCAAGTCCAGCTTTAACCCAGGACCAACAAATCCATCACTACCCTCTGTCCATCAGTGCCACACCTGCACATCTTTTAAACACCTCCAGGAATGACAATTTCTCCACTGCCCTGGGCAGCCTCTGCCAATGCTAGATAACCTTTTTCTACCCCAATGTCCAGTCTAAACCTTCCCTGGCACAACTTCAGGCCAGTTTGTCTCATCCTGTCCCTCGGGAGCAGAGCCTGACCCCCACCCACCTCCAGTCAGGGAGCTGTAGAGTGCTGAGGTCTCCCCTGAGCCTCCTTTTCTCCAGGCTGAGCATTCCCAGCTCCCTCAGCTGCTCCTCACAAGCCTTGTGCTTGCAACAGGAAATGGAAAATCCAGGGTTAATGTGTGGACACCTTCAGAGTTCATCCCTGGAGGGCCCAGGGGTGTTCTGAAGCTCTCTTTGAATCCCCAAAAATGCACATTAGCTTGGATTACAGGCTCTCCCTGCCTGGGGAGCATCACACTGAGCTACCAAAATCCACAGGAGTTCCACATCCCTGTTTATATTTTGAGAAAGAAGCCTGGGATCTGAAAGAACAAGTACTTCATATTTCAGTTCAGTATTAGACAGAATTGCCAGCAGACTTAACAGCAGGGCATCAAAACAGTATTTATTGACCTGGTTTAACCACATCCTATCATTGCCTGCACCATGCCAGGAACAAGCTGTCAGTATCTTACTAGAATTGTGTTGTTATACAAACAAAGATAAGTACATACTATCTCAATTGTATTCAAAAATATCTATTAATTTCACCAGAAATATTTACAAGTGACACTTTTTCTTGAAAAGGCTGCTTTAAGCCAGAAAAAAAAATTACAAATAGTAAAGGGAAAATCTAATAAATTAATTGAAAGTCACAATATTTGTCATTGACTGCAAAAGAATCAAAGTTACATTTTTGGTTTTATTTTTTAGGGATAGCCAAGAATTCAAAAATAGTGGTTTGTGTCTAGAAACTTATATAAATCTTGTGAAAGAATTAATTTGCTCCTGCAGTAACAACAGCTGCCATGTTTCCAAACTAATCCAGTTTAAAAAACTGTTCTAATAAAGTCTGTATAATTTTAAGTTATTTGTGTAGTCATTTATCTATGAGCTACAGTATTTGCTGGTTTATTTAGAATTTACTTCTAGAATAGAAAAGAGAAAATGCATTTCATAATGGCAGAATCTCAAATTTCATTTACACAAATAGATTTCTATCAGTTCTTAGAAAGTGCCTGTTTATTTCTTCCACTTTGCTCTATGATATACCCCAAAATTCAGAAAATTCAGAAAAGTTTATTCTAATAAAGCAAGAGAACTGATTATTTTGGCCCCATGTATGTAAAAAAGAGATCTGAATGCAGTAAACGACATCCAAATTACATGCAAAAAAAAAGTCTACAGAGTTAAAAAAAAAGAAAAAATCAAACCAAGAAGCCATTCTAGCAAATCACCATCACAAAAAAAATGCATAATTTGCCAAAGGAGTCATATTATCTATAATATGCTCTGTCAAGCAGAGGAAGCCACTTCATGTCTAGATTGTGTCCTCATGAGGACAGGGTGGCTCCCCAGCAGCGTAAGGATGACATCTAGTGACGGCCACATCCATTTGTTCCCAACTCCAGCCTTCCCAAAAACACCAGCCCAGGCTGCCATCCTCACCTGGAGTGAGAGAGGTTAGGGTTGTACCTACATTTAAATACCTGTATTAAAAAGATGCACATGTATCAGATATCTTCAAATGCTTTCCTTTCATTACCTGAACTAAAAAAAAAAAAAACCAACAACAAACCAAAAAATAAAATAAAATTTTAAAAAAACAACAACAACAACAACAAAACCTACCAAAACCCAAAAATGAAGAAAACATTTAAAAAATCTGTAATTTTATGATATATAATCTATGCAAAAATTTGTTCAAACCTTCAAGATAAAACGATTCTCTTGCTATATTAGTGCTATATTGTTCTAATGCAACCTCTAAAGTGCCATGTTCTTGAGTCATTTGTTGTAATGGGATACAATCCTTGCAAAAGCTGTTCCCAAAAGATCATCCTGCATAGCATTTACTTACAAAGCTATAGTACAGAGGGATTTTTAAAAGTCACACACTCAAGCAGTAGAAAATTCTGCCAATCTCTCCAAAAACATAAAAGATGCTCTAGACTTTTAACATTTTTTCACCAACAGACAGTGCAAACCTCACTCTGGAACCAAGACTATCCATTCACACTTCTCTAATTAGTAAAGAACCTGGGACAAGACCAGAGTGCTTTATTACAAATAGAGCATTATTTTTCTCTGGTTCTATGCACTGCCTCTCTAATAATACATTACAAATAATACAAAACAGTAATTAAGAGTTTGTTGCTCTTTTCTTATTCCCTTCTCATGTTTGTGTACTGGGAAAATGAGTGTTTTTCTCAAAACATTCTCTTCTGTTTATTAGGGTGATGCAACCCCAATCCTTGCTCCCAGAACTGTAGGCTTCATTTTCACCTTTGACTGCAAAAATTGCACTGCTGAGAAGTGCAAGGAATCACAAACTGCATCGTTTGAGAATTACAATACCTTATTTTACAACTGCAGTGTGTGCAAACTGTTATTTCAATTACATTTAATAGTTACAAATATTCTCAAACCATATAAGTATAGTAGGTTCTAGAGAAAGTAACATGGATAACTACTATTCTGCAACTTGAAACAAAAACAATAAATAAAAGTTTGAAGCATTAAAACTAAGAAAAAGTAATCCTGTACATTGTACAGTACCTTTTGGTTAAAGCTTCTTAGCAAAAATATACTAAAGTGTTCTAAGCATTCCAGTTACAGATGGTTCAATATTAAAATTTCAAGGTTTCCTCATCATTAATAAAATATTGCATTTGTCCGTAGGTGCAGAAGATGCGTCTCTCTGAACAAGGCTCCAGTCTTTAAAAATCCAGAGACAACAAGTCTGAATTCAAAGGAATCATTGCAAAACTCCAATACAGTACTGAGGATGTAGAGTTGTTGTGCATGAGGGGTTGTTGACATTCCCTTACTCCCCGAAGCAGCTCTAGAGAGCCCACTGGATATCACTGAGGTCAGCTGTGTCTCCCAGGCCCCCGTCAGCCTCCAGGTAATTCATCAGAGCTGTCATCACAGTGTCATCGTTCTCACAGATGGCATCAAAGTCCAGCTGAGAATTGCCACCTACACAGTGATTAAAACAGGGAGCTTGAAGCAGGCATAAACACTATGAAGCATGGAGAACATGGTAACTTGCAGAACAGAATTGGTTTGAAGCAGAACATGCCTTTGAAGTCAAGGCAAATATTTCTATGTTAAAAAACCCCTAACTTGACTCCCTTTTAGTTTAACACCATTCTTCCTTGTTCTGTGTTGTTGGGATTGTTTTTAATTCTTTTTTCCCAAACCCTTATTAAAGAATTAGCTTTTTCTCCTTTGTGTTTCTTTTTCAGTGTTTTTCTTTTTTGGTTGGTTGGTTTGGGGTTGTCAGGGTTTGGGTTTTTAATTTTTTCTGAAAAGGCTCATAGTTCAACCAGAAGAAAGCTGTAGGTTATAAATAAACAAATAAATCCCTGGCAAATGAGGGAGAAGAGGAAGATGGAAAAGCTTCTAAGAGCTGAAATACAGAATCAGCATCAACATGGCTTTTACAGCATTTTGCCTTTTATGTCAAACATAATGCAGTGGCATTTTCCTCTTACAGCGCCAGGGAATTCTGCATCCAGACAAACTTAACAAGGGAAAGATTCAAAAAATTATTTCTTTGTACCAATTACTCGCAGCTTGCAGCCTAGAAAGAGGTAAAGTGCTAAAGGACAATAATTCACAAATTCCAAGAAGTTCCCTGACATTGCATTGAAATACTTTTCCCTCCCTATCTCTGTCCTGGAGAGAGAACAGTAAGGTACCTCACGAAAAGTTTAAGAATGCAATGGTAAACTTCAGTTACAGATGTTGTTTTTTGTCATGAGATTGCCTCACTTACCAAATTTTGCTGTTTGCCTTGCAGCAGTAACACATCTGTTTTCAGAGTGCTCTCATCTTCAGCCAGCCACATCTCTTTACAATTTATACGTGGTTGTAAAGTGGTGCACTCAGAAATGACACCAGTGATCAGAAGTATCAGCCCTTGCAACCCCCAGAATATCCCCAAGAGAAATAAATCTTACTGAGGAGAGGTTCATTACTGAGCAATGGAATAGCACCCTGGGTTTGCTCTGAATTCTCCAGAGCTTCTGTTTCTGAAGGACATAACTGAATCAACTCTTTATTTGGCACCTGAAAGAGCAGAATTGGTAGAAAGGACAGAATTAGATCCTAAATTTAGTCACAAATGTTACATCAGAGAAACATCATAGATTCCTGTCAAATTATTAAGAACGGAATAGAGAAAGTGAAAAATATACCTCATCAGGCAGATATTTTGCATTTAGAAACAAATATTTTATAAGTTCATATAGCACTGGACCTGGCTTAAATAAAAGTCGTGACTTACACAGCTGTCAAAGGTACTTCAAAGTGATGGCACTGCTTGAGCGTCTAACTCAGCGTTCAGTAAATAAATCCAGCACCAAATGTACTGGTTTGCACTTTCCACACCTACTGCCATAAACTACAAATTCCCAGTGACCTGATGTTTGTCACTGTCAAAACATTCCAGTTAAGAGATTAAAAAAGCCCTCATACCTCCTAGGTTCTATATGCTAACCCAAAAAAAGATTTTTTTTTTTTTCCTGACAGTTGTTTTATTTAACACATACATGTAATTTAGCAGGAGAGATTCCTAGGATTGTCTGACTTGTGTATATTCTACCAGGAAATTAATAAAGGTGAAATGCTTTCCAAAAGTATTTTAGGAACAAATGGGATACCAAGGCCCAGAATCAAGAAAAATCTTCAATGAATATGATTAAATTATCCTTATGATGAGACATTACACGATTTAGAGAGTTCAGCATAAATAAGTCAAACAACTCTTCAGGAGAAAGGGGAGAACATATAATTAAAAAAAGGGGGAAGTCAAAGCAGCTCCTAGACCAGAATAGTGGGGGTTTTTAATAAGAAATGAGAATTGCAGTGGAAAGATAAACTATTTCTAACAGGAAAGAAATTTGCATTCAAAGAGCTATTGGAGAAGTTTGTTCATGCCATGTCCAGTACAAAACATACAATATATTTAGGTAAGAAGATATGTTAATTATTCCATAGCTATGGGCAATAACTATGTTATTTATATAACTATGTTAGTTATAGTTTATGGTGTTACAAGCACTAGTAGATTTACAAGCACATTATATTAGCATAATTACCCATTTTTAGAAGAGTAATGAAATACCTTCAAAGTCACAATTTTAAACATTTCAAAACAGCACAGATTTTTTTTAACGTCTCTTCAAAACCATTAAGATTAAAAGTACACATTCACAAAAACAAATCAGGGCAATCTGGCTCAAACACAGGTTTTGAGCTGACATTAACCTTTTCATTTTGGATTTTTTCAGGCAGGGGTGTACTCACATCACTGCAGTTTATAGTTAAAGCTGGAGAAGGTGACTTCCTGAGGAGATGTGATGGACTTAATTCTCCAGAGGGTGAAGAATGCAACCTAAAATTGCATGTGTTTAGTTGATTTACCAGGTCACATTAAGCAAACACTGAAAACCAGACTGTGTGGTGCAGAACCCACCAGACCTCCCCAGTGACAAAGCATGAGTCTGATAATTCAAAACAATAATGTCTTAAATTCTCCTGAAGATTCTACATTATCCTCCTCCAAGTTTTGGTAGCAGAAAACAGAGAAGAGATCAGAAAAGACCATGGGTCACAATTCTATTCCTTGAGCACAGTTTTCTTCCTCTGTTGAATCACCAGTACAGTCATGTGCTCTGCCAGGCATGAGACTGACATAATTATAATGGTATCTCATAATGCTATTGCTCAACCTAAAAAAATGTTACACATATAATACAATAAAAGTGAAATTGGAACAAACCTCACATAATCATATATTCCTCATGCCTATCTTCACTTAAAAGCCTAGTGATGGTATTATGCATTTATTACCTTTGTAATTCTAATATTTCATTTGCAATTTCAGTTCCTATACTTCCAGCACCAAGAACTGTTCCAGAGGACATTCCAGGTACACTTACTAAAGACTGTTTTACAGCATCTGTAGACAAAAAAAAAATAAAGCCCAAACAAAACCTTAAACCAAGAGCACTTTCATTGCAGAACAAAGATTCATTTTAAAGTAGCTTTTGTTCTAGATATACATATACAAGTATATATTTTCTTATATGTATTCAGAAATTATACTCCTTTAAATACTGATTCATGGCAGAGGGTGTTGCAATATAAAGTGAATAATCTGTTTGTGAAAATTGTTGTTTTCCAGTAGTGAAATATATTTAATCATTGCCACCCCCAGTGTCTCTCACAAACATTGCAAAGAACATGAGTTTAAAAAAAACCTTGGATTTCTCACCAACTGAAATCAGTTATTGGAAGAACATTTTGAAAAGCAAATATAAAGCCTTGACAGCACGATGATAGAATGGTATGCAGAAACCAGAAACTCTGCATAGCAGAAAAATAATAACAAAATATGTTCTGTATCAGTATTCCCCTGTATTTTATAGATAAACTCAGCACAGTTGCATCTATTCCAAAAACTGGGCAAAATATGAAGGATCTGTGCCAAAGCACAAGATCCTACTAACCAAATCCCCAGCTCTAGCAGAAGCTGCAGGAAATTAAAAGTAGGTTATATGCACTTCTTTTTAGAGTTCTGTGAATTATATCAATTAGGCCTCTGAAAGTAACTAGACACTGAAAAAGAAGTAGCTTTAAAAAAAAAATTAATCCTTCTTTGCATGCAACCTAGAATAGAAAAAACCCTGAACTGGATAAATTTTAACTGACTGATCAGGAGATGCAGCTGTGATATCTGTAAGAAGTCACACTTGCCTTCTGCAGGTTGGGAACTGTAGAGGACCTCTTCTTCAGCTGATTCCTTATGACCTCTAAGATGTAAAGAAATTTAAAAAATCCCAAACAAGCCACAAAAAGTCAGCATTTTTTTCTCCAAGAGCAAAATCTAGCATATATTTATGTTTAATTTCAAGAATACTTTACACAGAACCAAAGCTAACATACTCAAACTAGGGAAATATAAGATATTCCTCACATATTTTCATGTTCAATTCTTTGTAATGTTTCTGAGCAGTGAGTGAAATACTGATTTCTACTTACTCTCCAATCTAAAAACAAAGCTAGTATGATTGTCTGTGTTCCATGATAAGGGAATAGGGCTGTCATTTTTAGTGTTAGGAGGGAAATCAGGTAACCAGGAACAAGGACAGGTCAGAGGCTGCCTCGTGTCAGCAGCTGCTGCCCTCCTTCCCTCCTGCAGACAGCTGCAAATACCCACATCTCCAGGGCAGGCAAAAAAGTGTCCTTGGGCTACTGGCCAGCACAGACTGTCCGAACTGCTCTTCCCTGTTTTCTTGGGGAAAAAGGACATGGGCAAAAGAGGTGGGTGATGTTGACCTAAGGCATGAGCCAGATACAGAATAGGCAAAAGGCTCCCTCAACAACTTTATTTAATGGAAATAAAATCCCCTCTGTCCCCACTGAAAACCCCAATCATTGGCAAAGATCTTCAGTAGCACTGGAACAATCCCAATTATAGCTCCATTGCAAGGTGCAGAGAATGAAAAAGAACTACAAATAAAAAGAATTAAACACACACATTTACTGTCCCCCAGGCTCCACCCTTGCAATCAATTTGAAGAGGATTTTTCTGTCCTGCCTTGCATTTCCACCATCTATCAACTGTGCTTCTCTACATTCTGACACCTGGGGGTAGGGCAGCACTTGGAATTGGGTCAACTGACACACAGAGGGTTGTAAAGACCAGAAGGAAAAGCAGAATTAACTTGACAGTTCCATTTATTCAAATCTACTTCTCTTAAAGATCCTTCCCTTCTTCCTTTAACAAGAAACTCTTTCATCTCTTTTTCTCCTACTGGGAAACAGCATAGTTTTCAGAGTCAAATCCACAATTTAAACCTGAAACAAAAATAGCTGGTAAATGCCAAAAAGATGTTTGTCCAGCTTGTTCAGTCCCTTTTTGTGCAAGCTTGATGTTTTCTAGTCTTGTTCTGCTTTCTAGGCAGGTTATTTTAGTGCTAACTGTAATTATGACAAAAAAATAAATGGAGAGTCATATAAATTACTTACAATACCACAGTGTTGTTTGATACAATGTACTCCAGCTCTTTGGTCCAAGGATTCATGAAACTGAACCACTGACTCTTTAAAGTAACAAAAGTCCCATCTTTTGCTCTAAATTTGTAGGAATTTGTAAATACTTTTTCTTTGTTCTGCAACACTAGATAAGAAAAGGAGAGTTACAATCACCATATTTAAGCTTAGAAAGGTAAAGTTAGAAATAATAAATCTATTTTACAGCATCATAAAATCAAAATGTTTCTGTTGGCCAGACATAGAATAAACATGCCAGAACAACCTGGGATGTGTTCTAAAATCAAATTATATAGTTTCAGCAGGGCCATAAATCTTACATTAATAAGCAAGTACTAAGTTCCTGCAAAGCACTAGGAGACTCATGACTTGGTGAACATTAACTCATGTCTTTAATTATGTTATCAGACACATCTGCTCTTCAGGATTCCTCCCCTTCCTTACAAAGAATGGAAGCAGAGGGTTTGACAGAGGTGCTGACACTATTCCTCCACAATTAAGGCCCTGCACCAGGAGCCAAGACAACACAAGTTTCTCCCTGCTTTTATTACAAGCCTTACACAGGCTTGTCTCAACACAGACATCACAAAGGGCAATGCTGAGGTTGGGTAGTTTGGGTTTTGCAGTGTTCTCACTTGCAGTTACACATAGCTGTAAGTAGTCTGGGAGGACCAACTATTTTGTACCTTCTTTGTGTTTTTCAGCTAGGTGATTGTGATCATCTTGATGGCAGTACTCATAACAAGAAGTTCCTAGAAGCTCTTGTGGCAGATATCCTAAAATTGCTGTTGCGCTGTTAGAAATAAAAACATGAACTACAGCGGACTCAAAGGTGTTTTTCTTCAGTGTCAGATAAAGCAGAACATTAATATTTAAACAAACAGACACCTGTGTTCATGTTTGGGGAAAAAAATACAGCATTAGTACAGCTCTAAAACAACAGGAGATATTTTTCACAGCAAATTATCCCTTTGCAATGAATGACAATTCGAAGGTAAAGTAAATGTTTAAACATGTACACACAAAATACTTCTGTTTAGTGGCTCTCCCTTAGCCAGTCACAGTACTGGTCACACGTAAGAGTCAATAAAAAAGTCAGCAGTTGAATTTTGCTCTTCCACTCAAAGGAATTAGTTTCAAACTGACACTTTTAGTAGAAAGAAAAGAAGACTGAAAACAGTAACATTTCCAGTGACAATGAAATTCCAAATGCAAAGTGGTAATTAGATCTCCACAACAAATAAAAGTCTGGTTCAGAAAGTACAGAAAATGGGAACTTAGTTCTCATTTCTAATAAAATAATTTGGTACCTCATTTAGATAGAATGTATTTGTTACAAATGGTAAGACTCAGAAGTAATAACTTCTGGTTAACTGTTTATTACTTCAGTCTTGTGCAGAGCTATGAAGCTCTAACTTGAGATTTTTCTTTATGAATAAATGAGTCGATTTTCTATACAACAATACACTTCTATACATTATGTATTATTTGACAAAAAACAAAGGCCAAGTACACATAGTTTAAGAATTAACTGCTTCTTGTGTAGAGCAGAAAAACATTCTGAAAATTAGAATTCTTGATAATTTTAAAAAAATTCTCAAAAATTGAAAATTCGAATTAGAACTTCTACCCTGTTGGAGAAATTACAGTTTTGACAGAGGATCTGAAAATGGAAGCAGTTGTGTCATTTCTCTTCAGTAAAGAACAAAATGCTTACCGCTGATCTACATAAACAAATTTCCCATCCATGGCAAATCGTGTAACAAATTCTGTTGCTTTGACTTTTATCTCTCCACTCTTTTGTGGAACAATATAAGGGTGTAACCTCCCAATCGCAACAAGACAGTTAAAGTTACTACTGTCCTTTTCTACATCGTTTTCCTCTTCTACTCCCACCTCATTAGGAGGCCAGTTCTTCAAATACCCAGTACAGTGAATGGTGCAGTATTTTCTGTGCTCTAGTAGAAAGAAATTAAATAAGAAGTAGTTATTGTTCAAAGAGTAAACCAAACTACTTATTATGTTGGCTGTGAGACCAGCAACTATATTTCATGCTTACCTACACCAACTGTATAAAGCTAAAGATCATTTTACAGAGAATTTTTCAATTCATTATGTTCTATTCAATTTGGGTTTTTACCTGCAAAGAGAACTTCTAACCCTATGTAAGATTTAGAAAGATGAGTTATGGGTGTTGGCAGTTCAAACACAAGTTAGACAGAAAACAAACAATAACACATAAATCACTCTGGTTTTGTATGGATTGTGAATTACAATTAACCTGAGACCCTCTGTAGCCTCCAAATCAATTCACCTTTGGTGATCAGAATGACCTGAACATTAGCATACTGAAGTTAAAGAAAGATTCAGCTTATTTTCTATTTATCTCAGGTTTCTGAAGTTTTGTGGGAATACAAATCTTTTAACTATCTTAAATTCCAGCATACACTGTCATTCATCCCTTTTTGCTGTCTAAATAACATGCAAACACCCTCATAAGCATCAAGGTTTGACATTATGTGTCCTACAGTAGCTGTCTTTGCAAAAAAATGCCAAAGCATTCTTGACACCTCTATGCTGAACAGGATGCTTTCCATAGCTTTGATTTTCCTCTCTATTACAAAAAGAATGGATCAACTCTGCAAAATGAGAAACTGAGTTATCCCACTATGATTCTGTCACAGTTGCTCAGGTGCCTTCCTTCAAAACTGCTTTTCCAAGAAACACTTACAGAAGGCAAATTCTTAGCTGAGTTATCTGACACATCAAGGGATATCAAATTCTATTTACTTACAATCACGGGCCTCTTAAAATTTGTGGTGTATCTCAACAGTAACAGCTTACATTGAAAAACAGAACTTGGAGGATTTTTTCAGGATCAAACAATTTCAGCACACCTTTGCAAAAATCAATACTAAGTTATTAAAACAAAAGTTGGAAATTTCATTTTAAATTGAAATCTAAATTTTCACTGGAAACTTGACAAGATTATACTGCTCTATGGGCATAGCAAACTATGAACTAAAGTGAAATTACTGGGAAAATTAATGGAATTACACCGATAAATTAACTTTACCATGAAAAGGGTGAAAAAAGGAAAATGCATACTTTTAAATACACACAACACAAAAAGTAAATCAGAAAAAAAAAGTTTGTTTACTTGCTTTTTTCCCTTCAAAATAGTAGAGCTGGCAGGCTTTATTCACTCAGTTATCTTCAAGACATAAGTTATTTAGTTTCATTCTTCTCATCTGCTCCAGTTCTTTCAAATATTTCCCTGAGACTTCTCAAATTTGACCACAACAGACCACATGCTCCTATAGAGCCACTGTACCTCAAGTTCCTCCCTCCCTCTTTCCAGGAGGGCACCAGGACAAGAAAGAGAACAATTAGACTGTTTTTCAAAAAGTGCCCCTAGTTCACATTTACACTGCTCTACAGCTACTTGGTGAGATCAGTAGGAACTAGAAAGCCATTAGTGATTTGGAATTTAAACAAGTTTCAAGAGAGAAAGCCCCCATTTCATCTCCACTCTCTGAATACCTTTCTTCTTTGGGTTGGGCAAACACTCCTTCTCCTCTTTGACTGTGGTCCTGCTGCACTTTATGCGACAGAAGAAAGAACGTCGAGCGCCAGAGTTCAGCCGAGCTGGTCCAGCTTGGAAATCTGTGTGTACTTGCAAGCCAGCTTATAAAGATTTAGTAAAGTAGTTAACAACAACCAAAACCAGGCAATAAACTTCAGAAAACAAGGTGCTTTCTGCATTTACCTCCCAGTACACTGTCCTTACTGTTTAGCTGCCTAAATTTTGTACTTAAAATTAAAAAAGTCTAATAGTTTAAATAGGGCAAAGAAAACATGACTGACAGATTCCAAAATTAGAAAGAACTACTAAACTATTTTTAAACCCTTCTTGATATTCTTAATACAATTTTACTACAGATGCTTTATAACTTTCACCTTGTATTTGATACAAGGAAGAACTGCAAAGATGCTTGTAAAAGCCAGCTATAAAATAGGCATTAGCTGCATAGTACACAAAACAGGCTGCACAGTACACAATGCTTTCCTTATTAGAAACAACTGTAAACTAAAGAAGGTTTGGTTACATTTGGATTGACACTTGGCATTTTCAGAGAAGACAGTGATTCTTGATATTGAAGTATTTTATCCCATGTTCGACTACATCAGGTCTTTTGTATTGACAAGACCTAGCAAATACAAGAAAAAAAAGTAGTATGCTGGTAGGAAGAATGTCAGACCACATCTTGGTAAATGCTTAACAGTGATTGCAGTAATTTAACAGAATTTCTGTAACTCTCATGATCTAAAATCAAGTCTCTTCTGGGCTAGCTTTTCAACTCTAACTGCATTTTAAACAGCAGATATGCATTCAGATGTTTGCTTCGTAGAAATACCTCACTTTTGTTCATCCACACATCCATACAAACCCCTGAATACATCCTGACTAATAATTAGATTAATGAACATCTCTTGAAAAAATCTGAGCACATCCAGTTCTGACTTACTTTTGCCATCTACGAGCTTCTCCCTAGGCGAGACGTCTGATGAAGAAAGTTGCTCCTTAACTTTTGCAACATCTTTTGGATGTAAGTAATCAAATAAACTTTGTCCAATTAAACTGGCCTATTTAAAAAAAAAAAAAAACAAACAAACAAAAAAAACCAACAAAACCCAAAAGAGATGAGAACGACACCATTTTGGAACAGGACCCCACACATTACTTGTCTCAGGAAAACTACTGTCTACACCACTACAAAAAAAAAAAAAAGTCAATACCACAAGTTACTCCAAACATCGATATGTTGTTTTACATTTCATTTGTCATTGTTTAATATAATTTTTATTTAAAAGGGTAGTAAAAACATAGTTTGTTCCTTCCCTTTGAAAAACAGCAGATTTAGTGGGAGATCAAACAAGTTCTGTACAAGCAAATGCTTTATTTATGTTAATAATGCAATTCCTGGTCCTAGCCAAAGACAGTTATGCACAAAGTAATTCCACTCTCGGATTATCGGGGAAGGAGGGAAGAAATAGAAAGGAGGATGAAATATTCAACTATCTAATGACTCTGACGTCTCATTTGGTTGGACAAACTGGCACCACAGAGCCAGAAGCAGGCTGGAAGCAGGGCTCAGCTCACCACAGCACTCCTTAGCAGAGGATATTTTCAGGGATGTCTCCAGCTGGGATGCCTTCTACCTGCTCTCTCTATCCATCCTAAGTAACTGACCTGCTGCAACACTTTCTTTTGGAACAGGAAGAAATTCTCACAGAAGTGGGAGGGTTTGGGTTTTCCACTGCTTACCTTCAGCACAGCAACCAAATCAAAGGACATAAAGGAGCTGTGTTGGCAAGCTCTACTCTAGACTCAAACTCAGGACAAACACCCAGTCTCCTGCCTTTTCCCAGTTCCCATTTAATCCTAATGCAATGAGAAAATGCTGCTGAGACAGCCTAACAGCAGCCTTGCTAAAATATACAGGTGGAACAAACCAGATAAAGCTGCAGCATGGGATTCAGAAACTAGAACAACTCCCAAACAAGCTAATAAATCCATGGGTTTTATTAAAGTCAGTCATGTCCTCTGAATCTCCTTGTCTGGAATAGAGGAGATATTAAGGGTCTGGAGGTAGGTATGTCTAACATGAGTGACTCCAGAAAGGCACTTTCAGTTCTTGAACAAAATCAGTTAAAAAACAATAGTAGAAGTTTTTTAAAAAAAACTCCTCTGCTTTATGCTTATTCCCCTAGGATTATTCATTTCACTTTAATTTAAAAAGATAGTTTCACACTTAAAAAAAAAAAGAAGGAAGATAAAAATAAATCTATGAAAGAGTCCAGATGGGTTATCTGTACATTTATAAAGAAAACAAAGATAGCACAAATGGTTTCAAAGTTACAAAAGTAGACAGATGGCAGCACTAGCTGTTTTAGCCTCTATGAAACAGAAGTCATTGATACAAGAACAAATTATCATCCCTTGATTATTTGTGGTAATTGCCCATCATGTTAAACACCAACTAATGGAAGGTACTTATCTTTTGCCTATTTCCCTTGTTCTACAGGCTATGCTGGCTCCCATTCAGTTTGTTTCAGGTTAAGGGTACACACTCGGACAGTTTTTGTGGATGATGTGTTACATGGCTCATCTGAGCATAAAGGCATCACCAAGGAAAGTTTTAATTAACTTCCACTGCTGCACTACTCATTTTCCTTGGCGTAAAAAAAAACCCCCAAAATCACTTCACTATGTGAAAGAAAATCTCCTGCACACAGAAATTAGAACATCTTCAAATTATCCTTTCCTCTCAGACTGGCAGTTTTTCTTAAGGATGATCAGCTGAAATCTGGTGCTGTTCCTCAGGCTGGGAACACTGATGCACTTGCACGTATTTTCTTACAGGATATTCAGCTTTACTCTGAATAAGGTTAAATCAAAGAAATTCCAAGAAATTATACAAAAGAATTGGTTTGATGTAATATAGAATAAAATATAAAAGTTTTTAAATTCCTAAGAAAATGCAAGGTAAAAGCAAGCAAGAAACAACAATAACCACCTGATCATAATTAAGTATTTTGCAAACTGATTCAGAGACAAACAGAATTTTTCCTCTGTTGCATCCAACCACAAACAGGAATCCATCTGCAGCCTGAAAATATAAAGATACTGTCTTTAAAAACACACAATTAAAATAAACAGTGAATATTAATGACTACAAGGAAGCACACTTTTAAACCTGATTTTTAAAATTAAATACAAGAAAGCTGGAGAGGGGCACGAGGAAATGGCTCCACACTGACAGCGGGTGTGTTTGGATCAGATATTAGGAAGAAACTGCTCCCTGTGAGGGTGCTGAGACCCTGGCACAGGCTGCCCAGAGAAGCTGTGGCTGCCCTATCCCTGAAAGTGTTCAAGGCCAGGTTGGATGGGATCTGAGCAACCAGAGATAGTGGAAGGTGTCTTTGCCCATGGCAGGGGGTGGATTGAGATGAACTTTAAGGACCTTTCCAACTCAGGCCATTCTGTGATTCTAAACAAAAAAAAAAAATCAATTAAGATTGCAAGGACCAAACAAGGCCTTCAACCACACACATCTAAAATTTCTTAAACACATCTTTGGCAGAAGTCCAGCTACAAAACAGCTTCTTTTGGGAGCCATTCACAGATCTTGGTAAAGCATTACTGCAGCAAAAGAAAAAAACCACAAACCTAGCTGTGGACGAGGTGTGTGGGTTTATGATGAAGTGTACAAACAACAGGGAAGATTTTATTCCAAGTATTTTCTGCACCTTTTGTGAAGTACATCTTTAAAAATGTCCATGAAGGACAGCCAACAACTGTGAGGATTTTCCTGCATAATTGGCAGCATTCTCTGCAGTTCCATGAAGATTTTTAGAATGGATGTATTAAATAGGCAGACTGTACACAGACTGTCCCTTCCAGGTCTGCTGCCTGCCATGCTCCCAAACCATCTCTGTACACCTTAATGAAAGCCTGGGTAGTGCAAAGAGTTTAGAAATCAGTACAGCAAAACACCTGCCTGAAGGAAATGATGGGAGAAAAAGCACTGTCCAACTCAAAACTCAAGCTTTAACAAGGACATAATTTATCTGAGAGTTTCCTTCCACTTACCCTAAGGATTAACTGTCGCAGTTCATCATCCTTCAGAAATGAAGGTTTATACCGGACTTCTGAGTAGGAGCTACTGGAACCTGGAAAATAGATGATTCACAGAGATCATGTCAAAAGTTACATTTTTAGTTCACTTTTAGTGGAGCTATACTTGTTATGTCTTTCAGAATTTTTGCCTGTGACCCTAACAGCTGAATTTAAAAAATAATTCAAGGTTCTAGAAATTCTAAAAATAAAATTAAAACAAATCTCAAACATAACAACTGGTAATAAAACCAGACACATAACCATTTTTTTCTTGCCCTTTGTTAACACAAACCAAGCAAACTTCTGTTCATATATCATTAATGTACTGCAAGAGAAATGGTATTAGGAGAACTGAATTTTCTAGAAATATTTCATAGGTATATTTCAGACCTCTTAATTAAATTCTCTTTCCTAAAACAGGATAATTCCAGTATTATCAATTCTCTTTTGGCATTAATAATGCTTCATTAATACTATAAAGCCAACAATCAAAAACCAGACTATTGTAGTTAAATCAAATGTCTCACTAAATATAGTGAGACTGACTCACGGCATGTACTGTTCTGGCACCCATGGCAAGTACTCTGTAAAATAATTTTTGTTCATTACACTTTTATCCAGTAAGGGTTTTTTTTCTTGTTACATTTTTTGTAACAGTTGGACATTTTAGCCAATTTCTTCATGCACGATAACTCCACATAGTATATTGTATTCTCTTAAACCATTTGTTTGAGGTAAATACAACTGTGCAGGGTGAAGTCCAGTTTTCACATCCTGTTGTTAAAATACAAATGCTTGAGCTGAAGATTTCTTGTTTAAACTGCAAGTGCAGTTACTGTCCTGCTGGTTTACATTATTTCCTGCTGGTTCACATTATTTCTTCATGAAGAACTCTCAGTCCTTTAGAAAACCCTCAAAAACCTTTACCTTGAGCTATTTCTATGATTCTATTACTGTCAAGGTAGCAACTTAATTAATTTTCTACCCTTCTTTGACCCAAAAATAACTGGGTTCCCATTATACCTGCTTATTCATAATCAGTGGGTTTTGCAATGCAGAGAGTCTTTGATCTTTGCTTAGAGTTGACCAAATCATTATTCTGAAACAGTGCTGCCAAAACACCTAAATATTCTGTGCAGCTGATACAAGTTGCATATTGCAGAGTTTATCTGGATATATATTTTTTGGGGGGGGAGGGAAAAAAAAATCCCAAAACCTAGCAATAGCAAAAGGAGAGCAAAGAATATTTCCAGGGTTGATCCGTGCACTAAAGCATTCCCTAAGATCCATTATTAACTTTGTTAGCTGACTGGGCTACCAGAAGTTTCTGTTTCCTGCTACTCTCTACCATGTGAGGGTTTTTAAAACTTTAATATAATCAAACTCATGGACCATTTTGTTAAACTATTTTCTGTCTCGCAACTTTCCTTTTGACTCCTGTACTTTCTAAAAAGGATCAAGGAGTGACCCAAGAGTAAGGCATGCCCTGAGCAGCAGAGAATATCAGACACTGAAGGGTGGCCTTTTTTCTGCCATACTAAGCAAAAATTTAAAATTAAGTTCTGACAGCTACACACACGTACATGTAAATGAGGAGCAGACTTGGAACAAAATACAGTAAGGAGATGTAAAATAAAATACTATTGATTTATTTAAAATCTGGGAAGATACACACAATAACTCCTAGTAGAACAAGGATGTACATGATGATGTTTCCCAAACTCACCTTTTAAAGACTTCAAGTGCTGCACAGCCATCCGTAGCACTGTGAGTTTGTCCAGCTTTCGGGCCATGGGATTGCACTGTGGTATCATGGCAGACAATTCCTCTATCAAATTATTCATTTTGTCTCTTCTTCTTTTCTCTGTTTGACTGTGAGCCTCTCTAAGAAGAAAAATTATTTTTAAAGAGTGATGTAGAACACATGATTTTCCCCATAATATTCAATTTCATTTTGGGAATGGAGCTACCACCAGTGCTACTGCACTGAAACAGTTTTTCATCTGCTACTTGTATTGGACAATTGAATTGGATTCACTTCAACAAAGACAAAATGGTTCCAATAATAATGTGAAATACTGAGGAGAAGAGATATCTCAGCAACAATTTGATACTATTTGGCAGGAACAAGAGGTTATGAAGACTTCTAAAAGGTAACCCCTTCTTGTGACCCTTGCCATGCAAGTGATGACTTGGACAACTCAGTGTATCCCAAAGAACTCTTGATGTCATTGGGGATCAATGAAAGACATTCCTGCTCCCACCTCTGCCTGGCCTGTGTAACCAAGTTAGGGTGTTCATTCTGCTGCCTTTTAAGAAACCCCAGAGCAATAAACATTACTTTTCTACATGCTTCTAAGAGATGGAGTGGAAACTGAAAAAAAAAAAAAAAAAAAAGGTGTGCCTCGTGTAATTTACCAGCAGTATCTCAGAAAGCTTTCCTGATAAGGTGGTACAAAGGCTGTCTAAGGTTTCATCTCTTGGTAAGCCTGTCAAGAACTCAGCCACACAAAGAGCTTCTCAGCCAGTCTTTATCAGGAAACTCCTTCTAGGGCACATGGCTCCACATCACAAGTGCTTTTACAGCTCAGGTGACCTTTTCTTTACTTCTTTCTAGTGCACTATGTCAGCTTTTCAGCCCATCTCGTCCCCTCTAACCACCCTCCAGCAGATCAAGGCAAGTTTCATTCACTCTCTTCCTCCTTACCCAGAAGACAAGCCAGCCACTCAATTAAAACCCAGACGTTTTTTATTTCTGATTGAGGCCAGACACAGTAGTACAGTTATGCAAAATGAGGAATAAGTTTTGGTTAATTGATCTCCAAAACTTTTCCTTCTAGGCATACTGTAACAGAAGCTATTAAAGGTAATAAAGTTAACCACACCCGGCCTGTTGAGAAAGAACAAAGTACAGTTTTAAAGATCTACCTGAATACTATTTTAACTATTAAAAAAAAAAAAAAAAAAAAAAAAAAACCACAAGCCTTCACCTCACAATTAATCCTGGGTGATTCTGCTAAGCATTCAGCTTTTCTCTCTCAAAAGCCTTTTTTTAGATTTAATTTTTTGAGTTATGCTCACACCTATGGGTTCACCCAACTCTTCCTTTACGTCAGGTAAGAACAGTCAAGTAATATCCTGTGTATGCTCCTTGAACTGTGAACCTCAGGAAGACAGATACATACATTCCAGGAAAGGGAACAACCTACCACATCTCTGAGGGTCAATAAGGAATTATAAAAAACTGAATAGATGGGTGCAGAAATTCAGGGGATAACTGAATGACTGAAAAAGCCTTCTGTTGCTTGCCAGAGCCACAAAAGCAAAGGGAGAAAAACAGGTTCCACAATAAGCTTGAGACAAATCATACTAGAAGGAGATAACTGATAAGCAAACCTCCAGACACCTTTGTACTGATTCTTTTTCCCTCCAACTAGTGCACCAAAAAGTAAGGAAAAAAGTTAACAATACCACAAAGAAGCCATTAAAGCAATGTACAACAATCTTATAGAGCAATCTGGAATACTCTGTGAAGAAAAAATAATTTTCAAGTGGAACTGTAAGTATATCTTGGAACATTTCAGTTTCTTTAATTTTGTTTCAATTACAGGAATACTTCATAATTATATAAATAATATAAATACAAATAATACTTCTGACAGCATGCTGAGTGGATTATGTATTTCTGGTTTGACATCTCTGCTCACGGGTAATATTAAACACTTATTTTTAAATCAACTTCACAGCACAGCTCTGGTTTTACTGTGTGGTTTGTCTGTAGTTTACAATATTTGTTTGGCTGAACTGTGGTCACACAACTTGCAAATGCTCTGTAGTACTGCATTTTATTTAAAAGGTATGCTCTGTCTCACCCCTCCAAAATGTATGGTATATTCTAAGCCTGTGGTCCTGCCCTGAACCATCCTGTATCTGTCATCCCATTGGCCCAAATCTGATTCCGCGCTTCAATCTCCCTCTTAAGCTGTGCTAGTGAGACCAGGCTCTCTCGTAGCCTTTTCCCCTCTCTTAGCCCCTTTTTCTCCCCTCTTGTCCCTCCCCTAGGCCCTTTCCCTCTCCCCCTCCCTTCCCCTTTCCTCTTCTCCCTCAGTAGCCATGCTGTTCCCGGGGATGGGACCCCCAATAAACCCTCATCAATCAGCACCCTCAAAAGCCATGTGGAGTCTCCTTGCCTGCCTGCTGCTGCCAGCGAACTGACTGTCTAGGGGGCTCCCCAGGGACTCCCCCTAGACAGTGCGCCCCCCCCAAAACGAACAACAATAAATGGCACCCAATGTTCAGCAAGAGGACCGACAGCCCTGAGACAAAAATGGACCGTGCCAGCACACACAACATTGCTCTATGTGAATTTCAGTTTATGTGAATTCAAAGTTCAGTGGCAAACTTGAATAATTCCCTATACAAAAGCTTGTTCTAGAACAAGAAATCTTTGCCATGCTTTAGCCAAATCCATTTCCATGTGGAATAAATTCTAAATACCTCCAGAAGCAGACAAATCTAGAAAAAATAATTCTCACATTCATACAGATGAAGGGTCAGCTCCTTATACATGACTTGCGTGTACTGCATTTAATTCTCACCTTAAAAACTTAATGTTTTGCTAAACCATCTGAGATATCCTGTAGCAACTTTTACCAAAATTATTAGCAAATAAAATCCTCAAGGAGGCTTTAAAAACTACTATACATTTAGCAAGGAAAAGGAAAAGCTTACTGTTAAATATTTGATAGTTTTAATGAATGTTAACCATAAACTCATATTTTGCTATTGTGAATCTCAGTATTCACTAGCAAAATGTATTTCTATTGAAAAATAGTACCTGAAATCTTTTACTTTAACATGTTCTTCATCTTCACTCCTAGAAAAAACAAGATACAGAGTTTTGCATTACATATTTAATACTAGGCACTTCTTTCCTCCCACAAATTCCAGAAGATAGAAAATGCTACAGATTTACTGTGGCTCCAGCAAAAGCAAACCCACAAAATTTCTGAACCATAACTGACCTAGCAAGTGATGCATAACAGAAAGAGACGAGAGCACAACTGGCAATATTCACAGTTGTGTGAACATATTAAAGGGATAATTCCTAATTATGGGGCTTTTTTTATTCTGGAGACAACAACTTTACTGGAATACTCAAATAACTTAAGACTAGACTTGATTTTATTTTTTTGTTTCAAGTTTTATAAGAGAAATGATCTATTTATGTTTTTACTTCTCGTATCTTATTGTCAAGTTATAAAATAAGCAATCCTAAATTATATTTAAAAAAAAAAATCTCAACTATTTCCCATATCCTACAGCAATGACTTGGAAGTCATAAAGTAATAAAATTGTAAATGAAACACAGTCCTAAGTGTCTGCAGCACAATAAACACACTGCAACAGGAAACAATAAAGGATGATTCAAATAAGGGCAAGGAGCTTCTCTTTCCCTGTGACCACTGCACTGTTCCTCACTCTTTGTGAAGAATCCATGGCCTTGGTACCATGAGGATCAAGAGGACAGGCCAAGCAGGCAGCAGGTGTCCCCCATGAGGAGGCAGAAGCAGGAGGACCTTGGGAGATTTCAGTGAAGGTGCCAAAAGCTGCTGCCACCTGTAACTGAGCACTGAAGCCAGTGAGGATCCAGAAGCCAAATTAACAATGCATAATCTGGGATTTCACTAGAACCCAGCAACCTTCTAGACAGTCTGATAAACCCAAACACAGGAGGAGATTTGGCTCACAATACCCCAAGACTTTCATTCACTGAAATTGTTTCAGATTTAGACGACTTGGCAATAACTAATATTTTCCTTCCATTTTAAAATAAACTTACCAGAAATATCCATATACTGTGAATTCCAGCATAATTTACATTCTCTGACTATAAGAGAAGCGGTAAGGAGGAGCCAGGCCAGCTGCAATGCAGCATGTGCCCTATTAACTTTCCTTCTCCCTCAGGAGCTCCACTTGGGGAAAAAATTAGCACAAATTTGCTGCTCAAGCAATCAGTCCCAGCCTCCAATGGATTTTATAGCCTCTGTCCTAACAGCTGTGGTGTTGCTGATATGAATAGCTAAATTAAAACCACCTTGACTACATGAACAGAAGGTGAAATTCCACTTTGTGGCTATAATGTGGGTATATTTAATTGGTACTATAAAGGACAGAATTGGTATCAATCAGTAAAAATAAAGAAAACCAGCTTTTCTCTACTTTCTCAATTGATTTATAAAATATACTTCCCCATTTCTTCTGAAATGGAAGCAAATGTTTTAAAGGCAGAAAAGGAGGTTTTTTAGTTACACTTTCCATCATGAGCACCATGGAAAAAATCCACGAACAAACAACCAATTTAACCCCAAAGAAAGATTTTTACACTATCCTTTAAGCTATGTACCAAAGAGTAACTTTGGTACCAAAGACTTCCCTGCAGAAAGGACCTGGAGGTGCTGGCTGACAGCAGGCCCAGTTCAAGGCAGTCAGAGGGCAAAGCACATCCTGGCCTCATCAAACACCAGATGGGCAAAGAGATGATTGTCCTGCTCTCCTCAGCACTGGTGTGCCTTCACCTTGAATATTGTGTGCACTTCTGGGCCCAAAAATGTGAGAAGGTGTTTGGTGAAGGCGGGAAGGTCCCTGAAGGAATTTAGAGAAAGGCAGCAAAGCTGATGAAAGGGATAGAACGAATGTCCTCTGGGGAGTGGCCAAGGACTCCTGGTTTGTCTACTTTGGAGAAAAGGAGGCTGAGGCCTTGCTCTTGCCTGCTCATTGCTCTCTGCAGGTTCCTGAGGAGGGGAAGTGCACAGAGAGGTGCTGAGCTCTTCTCTCAGGTATCCAAGGATAGGACACAAGGGAATGGTTTAAGAGCTGTGCAGCGGAGGTCTAGACTGGACATTAGGAAGCATTTCTGTACCAAGAAGGTGGGGAAACACTGGAACAGGCTACGTGGAGGGGTGGTCAATGCCCCAGGCCTGTCAGTGTTGAAAAGGCATTTGGACAATGTCCTTTACAATGTGCTTTAACCTTTGGTCAGCCCTGAAGTGCTCAGGCTGTTGGAGCGGATGATCATTGTAGGTCCCTTCCAAGTGAAACAATCTATTCTATAAAAACAATGCATGTCTACTTAAAAACAAATATTACCCAAGTAAGGTATTCAGATACAGAAAAAGAAAATGCAACAAAGTAACCACGTAATTAACAACCCTCCTGGCACATATATTCCACAAAGGGTTTGCTTATGCTGCATAGCCACCTTGTAAGAGGATTATTTTAACAGTTACTATAACTGTAATTTTACAAGTACCTTAAAAGATTAAAACAACCAACAAAAATGTTTACATTCACCAGTCCTGGAAGAATATGAGAATATTTCCTTCACCTCTCTAAGTCTTCTTATTGAACTGGAACTTTCCACTCCTTCCCATTCTAAACTTCAATACTAACAAATTCGGTAACAGCATAATCTTAGAAAGATTATCAGGAACCCTTAACATTGAATGGACCTGTCCATCCTGTTCCTTAACTAAATGTTTATCACCTTGTGCTGTACACAGACCTGCCCTGGGATGAAACACTCCTCAAGGAACCCCACAGCTCATCTAGGCAAATAGCAAAGTGTGACAAGTTCACAGAACTCAAAACAGAAATGAATTCATTAATAAAAAGTACCTTTTCTGAGGACCACCATCAACTTCAACTGTATCCCTGCAGAAACAGATCACAAAGTAAGTAAAATGGAGTTTGAAGAACAACAAGATGACTTAATAGATTCAAAAAACCAAAGTCACAGCAAAATTTTAATAGTAACTCCACTTGATTGGTTATTTTCAGCAAGACCATTAGTTCTAGAATGTAATTACTACTTCTTATTAGCCAGTACTTTTTCAATTAATTTTTCAACTTGGACAATAATTTTTTTTATCAGAGAGATCCAAATTTCAGGGAAACATTATTGAGAAACCAACACTTTTACAGAACAGGTAAAAATCAAAAAGTGACACTGAAAAAGAATGGAGACTATTTTTTTCCCCCAGAAACCAACATTGCTGGAGTTTTCAGTTATCCACATGATACACTTGAATCTCCAAGCTGGCAATTACATCAACACCCACAGTACAACTACTGCAGATCAATGGACTACATATGGGAGAAGCAGTGATTACAAAGAGCTTTAATAATCACAAATACATGTAAATCTCCTATTCCCCACCTTTTTAAACATGGATATTCTGCACTAGTTTAGAGATAGTTGTAGTGCACTACACCTGCACCTTGTGTCCCTTACTTCTGCCTGATTTACACAACTTTGAACACATCACTTTTTTGGTTAACTGGCATCTGTTTGGCAGTTATAGAACAGGACAAAACAGTTGACAGTGTCACCTCAGCAGTCAGGTATGACCCACTTGAAAAGAATGAGGACTACAAGAGGACAGTCCCCATTCTTAGGTCACAGATCTGTCTCCACGTTTAAGGAAATGGCTGCTCTGGTCACTGAAGCAGCAGTTCTAGATGAAACAATTCAGCCAGTAATCTTGTCTCATGCTTGAAGGTAAAATTCTAGTATGTGCCTGGGAAACTTCAAACAACTTAAGAACTTGCTTTTACTAGTAGGCATAGAAGAAGGAAAAAAACCCTAAAAATTAGGATTGAAATTTCAGCATTAGACACACATTATCCAGACACTTCAGGCCAGGAAATGGTATTACAGAATCTTCCATGTATCCCTTGGATTTAAGGATTATTTTTTCTATTTTTAAAATTGCGGACTGTCAAAGAACACATTTGGAAGACATTGTAAACGTAATGGTAAAGGACAAAGGAAAGAGGATTAGAAAGGAGGGAGGAGGAGGAAAAGGAGAGACAGTGACCATGTTGCATAAACAACAGACGAATGTCTCAGATTTAGGTTGAGACACAGAGATCTGATTCACTTACTGGTTATCAGAATCACTTCCTTTGCGTTTCCTTGGAATGTCAGGCACGGCAGCATTGAAGGAAGTGGTGGTGGCAGCCTTAGTGACCGGATTCATGAGGCTGGGCCCTCCACAGGCCACGCATGGGCTCCCATCCACAGAGAACTTATCTGGCAGTGAGAATAAAGGCTCAGTGTCCAGCAAGAGCTGCATCACTCTGCATCCATTCTCATCCTCACTGGGACAAAAAGTTGTCTGTGTGTGGTTTCTGTGTCTCTGACACAAAAAACCAAGGTTGCAGTGCTACAAGCCAAGACCAGCAAAGAGTGCACCACCTTCCCACAGTGCTGCAATGATCTCACCAACCCAATCAACACACCAAGGCAATACAGAACAACTCTCCCTTCACGCAACCTTTGCACTTAAATCCCCCTCCACCTCAGACATCCTGCTACAAAATCACCAGCTGTGCCATTTTTCAGCAGATCCAAATACTGTGGCTCAAACTAAATGAAAATTAAAAATATATTTTGAACTGTTTTTTAATCAAGTGGGATATCTAAAAAATAGAAATCTGCTATAATCATGTTCCTGACACAAAATCCACAACTACACAGAACATCTGCCATAGAAGTTGGAAAAGTCTCAAGAGCTTGTCAAGTTTCCTTCACAATTCTCCTCTTAAGGAAAACTGTTGTTTCTGGGAAGGACAGAAGAGAAGTCACAAGCTAAAGCAATCCTAGCAACCTACTGGGAAAGGAGAACAGTCTCAAGGAACATGAGCATTACACTGTTTTTCTGTCTCAATGCAGCTATCACAAAGAATCACCCAGTTGATGTTTAGGCAATGAGCCAGAATTAAGTCTGTTTCAGCAAATGAAGGAACTCCTTTATGCTTCATGTGCCAGTGAGGACACATGAGGGATGAAGAGATGTCATTTAAGGAAGTGAGCAAAAACCAAGAGGAGTACTTTGAAAATCCAGCAAGAAGAAAATCTGGACAATTTCTTGTGAGCCTTCTCTCTTTTTTTGGCATCTGTGCTATTTGCAAAAATGTAGAAATGTGCAAAAACAATGATACAAAGGATATTTTTCCCCCTCTTAGATGCAAACACATCTCACACCAGAAAAATTACCTTATAGGTTTTCATTTGGTGTTGGAATACAGCTCTGGAGAGCTAAATTAAAATAGGCTAATACTCCAACAACAGCTTGCCTGGTCTTCCACTAATCCTCTATCAACCCAGACAACACAAAGTCAGCCCCTGTTTTATTTTAGAAAGCTCTTCAACTCATTAAGTCACACAGAAAGTTTCAAAAAAAGAGGTGGAAACAAAGAATCAACAAATACTTGACAAATAAGTGACAACCTTTGGACATCTGTGAGAGCAAGAAAATCTAGTTATTTCAAATACACATCACATTCAAATTAGGGATATTAAAAATATGTTAAAAGAAATTACATGATAAATACTTTAAGTATTTATATAAGACAGTGGTAGATGTCTGAAATATTTTTATGATGAGTCTCCCTAAAAGTCTCATTTTATATTTCTGTTATTAACACAATTCCAAAACAAACAAAAAATGCTGACAGATCCAAAGGAACTGTTTATTTAAAAGGAGCAGTTTCAATTTGCCCAGGTCACAGCATCCTATAATTCCTGATTGAACTACTAAAGTATAATTGTCCCCGTCTCTCTGCGTGCCTCCCAGCGAACCCCGGCCAGCCCCGGGTCGGCAAACAATAATCAGTCTTGATGAATATTCATAAAAGAGTACTTACTAAACAGCAACCTGCATGGTTGCAAGACAAGAATGCCTTCAGCACAACAGATCCTTTCGTCCTGGATCAAAGCAGGACAGCACAGACCCACTGACCTAAATATTGCTCTGCACACAGATGGCCAGCCTGCTTTCCAAACACTTCCCCTTAAAGGAACAAAATCCAAGGCCTCTTTTACAGGTTTTCCAATTTATCTTCAATACTATTAAACAACTAGTTTTTTTTCCTCACACCCAAGCAACAATTTCTGAATACTCCACTTATCTCTTCTACCTTTACTAACAACACCCATTTTGTTATTCTTAAGTGAGAAAACAAAATATGTTCAGATTACCAGTAACAGTAACCTATTAAGAACTTTTACACTACAATTATTAAGTGATAAATTGAATCCTTAACATTGTCCCTGGGACAAACTAAATGCCAGTACGATGGGTGGCTGATCTTGGACAAAAAAGTAAGGTTAAGAATTTGTACTGATCCCTGACATGCTCAGCATGCAGCTTCCCAGTAAGTGTATGGGAAATGAAAAAAATGTTAGTTCAACACTCATTTTAGTGTATTTCATAGCTGGACAAACAAAATATTTAAGGGATGATTATCAATACATATTTCTCATAACAAGAGCATCTCCTATTCTTGTGGTTTTTCTACATGGAAAAGAAATAATAATTAGAGTCCCCAAGAGGTTGTAAAGAAGGGAACAACTGCCAAGGAGCTGCACAAAACTGCAGTTTGGGGGGAGATACAAAGACAAACAAAATCAGCCATATTCCTGTGTCAGCAAAGTTTCTGTGTCAATCCCATGCAATGCATTGAGAAACAAGGCTTGGGAGACTCCACATTTTTACAATTGCTGACAATAATATTTTCTAATCCCATGCCACATTCCTGAGTTGTTTTCACAACCAACAGTTTTAAGGTTTTCAATTCCTAAGCAAACACAGGCTTTTGAAAAGCTTTATGGCCAAACTCCACCAGCCATTAAAAGGGAGATTCATCTGAACCAATAATGATGTCCACATCTGAAGTAACCATTCTGGTCCCTCTTGGAGGGAGGAAGACATTTCTAGGGTGATTCATCTCTCCCCAGAATAGATTCCTACATTTGGCTAGATGAAATAAAACAGTTCTAGGGTGATTCATCTCAATCTAAAATAGATTCCTCCAGTTGGTTAGATGAGATACAGCCCAAGAGTGCCTATCTCTAATCAGTAATTACACAGGGACCAAAGGAACTTCCTCAGACTTGGACATCTAAAGGCAAGTGAGATGAAACCCACTCCAAGTACAGAAATATCACACAATTCTTAAAACATAAGAGCCACAGACAACACCTGTTTGCATCACATGCAACAAGTTCAAGCCCAAGACAGGCTTTCCAAATTATTGCCCTAATTATGCACTGCCTCAAGACCACTGGCCCCTAGCAGGGTTAGCTTTTCTGTCTAGGTTTGCAGGATACATATTAGCACTCCAAAAATCAGCAGGAAGATACAAATCATGTAGTATTAATAAATGAATAAATTAATTAAAAGAGCTGTCAGTCAGCCCTTATTTATTAGCCAGTTTAAAAAAGAACATCCAAATTCAGCTACCAAGATATTACAGTAAAATGGGCTTGAAATAAAATATCATTAAAGAAGTACATTTATAAAGCTTATGGTGACACTTTCCATAGTCTGGGAATAAGTGACACTTGGAGAAATGTAGCAGCTCTGCAGCTAACTAAATTAATAATGTGTTAACACTGGCACAACCTTTCCAAAAATAAGGAACTATTAATCCAGCTTCATATTTTGAAATAATTTCAAAGGAAAGAAGAGGCTGCTTTGAATTCAGATTTCTAAGATCACGGATACTACAGACTACTAAAATGTGTATTTTCCAAAGGTATGTATGTGGCATGCACAAAACCCTCCAGCAAGGAATCTGAGCTCTGTGAATTTTAAAGAACTCCAAAGTCTGGCAGAAGCGAGTGTGAAGTGGCACTTGAGGGTTGTGCAGCCCAACCAGAGCAGTTCCTTTTAGATTGTAAAGGTCTGTCACAATCAACATAGTTTTTTGGTGGGGTTTATTTTTGGGGTTTTTTTGTGTTTTTTGTTGGTTTGTTTGCTTGGTTTTTGTTTGTTTGTTTGGGTTTTTTTGTTTGTTTGTTTGGGGTTTTGGGGGATTTTTTTTTTTGTTTGTTTGGATTTAGTTTGGCTCTTTTTTTTTTTTTTTTTTTTTTTTTTGGTGGGGGGGAGGAAGGATTCTTTTTTTTTTTTTTTTTTTTTTTTTTTTTTTTTTTTAGATGGGAGACGAAGCAGCTCTGCTGTGAGGAAAGGTTAAAGGAATTGGGATTGTTCAGCCTGGAGAAGAGAAGGCTTTGGGGTGACCATCACAACTGGTAAGTTGTGATTCTTGACTGCTTCTCTTCCAGGTGATGAAAATGAGTAAAAATAGATGCAGAGAGTAATCAGTTACCTATTATTTGATTTAAATGTGTGTAATTCAGAGTGTTTTAATTTTTTCCTTTTTTCATTTTGTGAGATTAAACCAAATCCAATGTTCTTAACATAGAAGAGTTTATTCTCTGGATAGTGTTGTTCATAACATGCTTTCATTACTGAATTCTCTGTGTCTTGCTCCTGCATTACACATGCTTATAAAATCTGGGGAAAGAATAAGCTGCTTGAGTCCATACATTTCTACTATTTTCAGAACTTCATTCCAAAGATTGTTGTCCCAGCTTTCAATAAGAGGTACTGTAGGTGATGAGCTTGATGCCAGACTTGCTGTAAGTAAGTTTGAAAATGCTTTTCATGGCCTGTTTTAAAGGTCTAAAATAAATCAATTCAAATAATTTTTTAGTACAACTCTCAGCTATGTGTAGAAAATATGATTCTTTGTTGTATAGGTGTTCAGATGTGCAGGAGCTTAAGCTGATATCACAGCACATGTAACTTTCTTCCTCACACACTTCCATATGTGTGTAGGCTCTGTGTGTCACTGTCACGCTCTCTAATGAATACCTGCAGCAAGAATTCATTAAAATAAGCTTAAAATTTAGAAATTTAACTCCATAGTCAAAGAAAACCATGTACATGGTGTGGAGTTATTTGCCTCTGTCAGTGTGAAGCCATTGCCCCTTGTACTGTCACTCCAGGCCCTTGTCAAGAGTCTCTCTGCATCTTTCCTGTGGGTTCCCTTTGGCACTGGAAGGGCACAATTACTGACACAGAATGACACATTTACTTCACAGATTGCAAACAAAAAATATTTGGTGAAATCTATCAGTGTATTAAAATATAAAATAAGGCAGGAACCAGCTAATGAAAAGATCCTCCCCAAGGCCTGGAAAGGGTACCCTGCTTTCCCAGGCACTTTCATGTTCACACTAGGTAGAAAGCACTGATAGGAATCAGGAGTCTCATGTATCATAGCTCATTTCTGGGGAAAAAACCCAATAAACAAAAAACAAACCACAAATCCTCTCCAATAATATACTCCTAGAAGAATGGTGGATAGTTGTTTTCTTGTAAGTTTTAGAATCATGTGATAGCAAAATGCTGAGTCCTGTCAAGTCAGCTGCAGAACTTCCATGGTTTTAGCTGGCCCTGAAGTCCAAACAGGGAATTTTCAAAAGTTCACAATGATTCCCTTCCAAAATCATCCACCAAATTATTTCTTCTTACAATGAATGTGATTCTTGGATGTAAAATGTCCAGTTTAGAGTTTGTTTTTCATAATGTGCAAATGTACAAAAAATGTGTACACTCAAGTGAAAAAAAACACCCTAAAAACTATCAGCAGGTAAGTTTAGTGTGGCCGTATCCCACAAACAATTAAATACATTAAAGCACACATAACTCAAGAGGCATTTAGAAAACAACTACTAAACCTAGAAGAGTTGGTGCTAACTACACAGAGCTGAAGTGATGGCTCAGGAGGGATTGGACCATTTGTGTTTCCCCACACCCCGTGCAAAACGCTCCCTTCTGCTCGTTTCCAAGCAGGAACACGGGCATCAACTGGTCGTTTACAACCAGCCTTGATTTAGTATCAGGAACTTATGATTAAAACCATGGAAAAGATCAAATCTTGGTTGCCATACACGCGTGGGCACAAATACACACACAGAGAAAAGCCAGAATCAATATATTTAGTATACCTAAAATACTAAATTATGTTTACCTACCAAAAAAAAAAATCATAGTAGAGTTTTAGGAATGCAAGGCTACATGTGTACCAGAAACAGTGAACTACAAACTTAGTTTAAAAAACCCCAAAAAACAAAAAGCAAAACAAACAAACAAACAAAAACCCAAACAAACACAAATTTTTAGTGCACATCGCATCAATCAGTATGATGACACATCTGTCACAGCAATACAGCACAGTGACCATTACACAGGCGGATGCCAAGAGGACGGTGCCAGGCTCTTTTCACTGCTGCCCAGTGACAGGACAAGGAGCAATGGACAAACTAAACACAAGAAGTTCCACCTCAGCCTGAAGAAGAACTTCTGCACACTGAGGGTGGCAGAACCCTGGAACAGCTGCCCAGGGAGGGCCGGGAGTCTCCCTCCCCGGGGACATTCCGGACCCACCTGGACGCGCTCCTGTGTCACCTGCTCCAGGTGACCCTGCCTTGGCACGGGGGTGGACTGGACCATTTCCAGAGGTCTTTTCCAACCCCATTCCGTGATTCTGTTTCTGTGGGGGTGCTCCAGGTACCTCCACTGAACTCCACTGAGCGGGAGCAGCGAGCCAGGAGCGCCCAGCGGGAATTAGCCATGAACGCGAACGGCCCCGGAGCGGCACCGGGCACAGGACCGGCCCCGAGCGCCCTCAATGAGAGACGGCAGTGCCTGACGGGCCCCACAACAACACCCGCCCGTGCCACATCACCGAGGCGGGCGGCCAGACAGACAAGACAGACTCAAACAGGCAAACACACCCCACACACAGCACCCGCCATCGACCCCACGCACGGAGCAACGCGCGAGAGGGGCGAGGGAGACGGGGCGCCCACCGCCCACTCCTCCCCCACCCGCTCCCACCTTCCGTCGCCCGCCGCTCCTCGGCGCTCTCAGTGCTTCCCGCTCCTGCTTCGGCCATGGCGGGCGGCCCCGTGCCCCACTCCACAGCGCCCCCGGCACCGCCGACATGCAAGGGGTGAGCTGAGGTGAGCAGAGGAGGAGCCGCCGGCGCCGGGAAGGGACCGCAGGCTGCCCCGCCAGCCTCCCCTCAGCGGACCCGCCCCGCCAGCCGCCCCTCAGCGGACCCGCCCCCCCCCGCCATGCTCCCGCCCCGGCCCCGCGCCGCCTCTCGCGAGATATGCAGCGATGGTAGCGCCGCCGCGCTCCCCTCACGGTGGCCCTGCAGGTGGGGTTCGATCCCCGGCGTGCAACGACCCAAGAGTTTCAGTGACGAGTGCAGTAAAAGGCAATTACTCGAGAGACACACCGATGGCTTATTTCAGAGCTGCCCCAGCCTGGGTGCTCTGTGGTAATACCGCAAATAAAGCACTACCGCTGGACTTTTCATGCCATTATTTATACACGGAAATTCAGAGTAAGTTTCCAAGCACAGCAACTCTTTTAGGATTGTTTAGGATTTTCCATGTAAGTTTCCATGCAGCTGATTTCTATGCGTGTCTTCACCTGGGCAGGGTCTTTTTGACATACAGACGTGATTAACCTGGAGTATTTTGCCAAGTTAGCAATGTATACACAGACATACATCAACACTGATTTACTACAATCTTAAAACATGTTAGTTCTAGGATGTCCTTGAGTAAGGGATGCTGGCAGCTGCCTCTTCCAATGGTTAGATATCCATTTTTGCTGGTTAGGCTTGGAAATATACAAAGATCTTACATGAAAGAATATCCTGATTTAAGATAATCTTGACATATTCCTGATTTTGCAACAGTTGGGCTGGCACCCTGCCCATGCCCCCAGGCTGGGGAGGGCTGATGTTCCTTTCTCTGGGTGCTGTACAGAGGATGCTTCATCTGAAGAAGCGTCAGGATCCTGGAGTAGTTTTGGTTGGCAGAGGCCTCTGTGAGTGGTCAGAGAGCAGTCCCATCTATCAGTGAAAAGTAGCATAAAATAGGGATAACTTTCACAAGTGTACTGAAGAGTGTTAGCAGAGATGTAGCTGGTTTTGGGCAGTACCAGGAACACACTTCTGAAGTGAATCTGCCCATCACGGTGCTCTGGTTCACACCCTGGAGTGCTGGTGTTTGCGAGGAGTGTTCCTTGTGCACAAAGACCTCAAGGTGCATCTGTAAAAGATTAGTGTGTTCCAGCTATTCCCAGGCATTCCTTCCCTCCAGCAGATCCCACTAGAACCAGTCTATGAAATGAAATTAAACCTCTACAACACAAATGAACCTCAGCAGTGCCTCTTCCACGTGACAGAGCCCCTGTCACTGTCCTGCCCTGTGCTGGTGCAGCCTGTGCCCACTCAGTTCCACTTGCAGCTGTGATAGAAGAGGCTTTTGCTCGAGCATGCAAATCCTGACCTGTGCCATCTCCATGGGCTGTACAGGTGCTGCTTCTCTGTGTTGGGGCACCACAATATAAAAAACATCTAAAGCTCCCAGAGTATGTCCAAAGAAGGGTTATGGGGATGATGCTGAAGGGCCTGGAGCAGCTGAGGGCACTTGGTCTGTTCAGCTGGAGAAGAGCAGAGTGAGGTCAGAGCTCACAGCAGTTCTGCAGCCTCCTCATGAGGGGAAGAGGAGGGGCAGGCCCTGGTCTCTGCTCTGTGTGACCAGAGACAGGACCCGAGGGAATGGCTGGAGCTGTGTCAGGGTGTGTCAGCTGTTAGGGTGGATATCAGGAAAAGATTCTTCTCCCCAAGGGTGCTGGGGCACTGAACAGGCTCTCCAGGGAATGGTCACAGCCCCAAGGCTGCTCCAGGAGCATTTGGACAGCACTCTCAGGCACAGGATGGGATTGTTGGAGTGTCTATGCAGGGCCAAGAATTGGACTTCAGTGATCCTTCCAACTCAGGATACTCCGTGATGCTATGAACTCAGGCGTGAGGGAACTTCAAGTACACATGTTATTGCTCACCAGTGAGGCCAGAGCTGCAGAGTTGGTGACATGTGTGTGGAGGAAGCTCCTTCTGCAGGTGTTCTTCTCCCACTGTTCTGGGGGCTTTCTCCTGTCTGTTATTCCTGTGGAGCTGGCAAGAGTAGCTGTAATATTTTGCAAAGGATGTTTTGTTCTTTCATCATCAGTTCTAGTGGTCACTATCTAAGTTAAAGTTTATGTCTTTAGAGCTGCAGACAAGGAATCAGTTTTTTCAGATCTGGGGGCAGATTCTTAAGACAAAAACACCCTTTTCTAAAAGTAAGAAAATACGACTAAATACACATGAAAAGGCAGTTGGGATCAGTCTGTTCTTCCAAGTAAAAAGCAATAGGATGAGGGGGAACAGCCTCAATCTGTGCAAGGGAGGGTTTAGATTAAATATTAGGACAAAATTCTTCATTGAAGAATTGGAAAAGTCTGTCAGGAATGTGGTGGAGTCACCAACCCCAGAGGTATTTAAAACATGTGTGGATGTGGCACTAGGGGATGTATTTTAGTGGTGGATTTGGCAGTGCTGGGACTCGATTGAAATAAGTGGGCAGGAGATCTTTCTCCTTTTTAATGCCTTTATTAAAGAGATTCAGCTCAGGTGGCGAGAAATCAACGGGTCGCGCCCACGCTGCCGCTGCTCCCAGGAGTGGCACGAAGAGGAGAATGATGATGCAGCTCTGTCCGCTGGTCTGCAGGCAGAGCTGGGGACTGCGTCCTCACGGGAGATTCGCAGATTCCACCTTTTTGGTCCAACACTCCGGGTCCTCTCCCTAGTCAACATCCTTTCAGGTCAGGGTGAGAAGCAAAAAGGATCCAAGCAGGCACTGGACTACGCACCCACCCTTAGACATCACCTAGGTCCCCTAATTCTATGTTGGCTCGTTGTTTTTAGGGGTTTTCCTGGAAAACTGTAAGATTTGGAGCAATGCATTTCTCATCTGCATACTAGCTCTGATGCCACTCCCCTGCCCTGCTGCTGCAGGGTCCCAGTGTGGCTCCCTGGTAAGCACCAGGGTGACAATGGCTAAACACCAACCATTAACAGGTAATTGAAGAAGAACTCTTAACAATGAAGCTAACTTAATAGCAACTGGTCCAACCAGTTTTAACTCTGCAACCTTAAACAAAAATAGATAACTTTTATTCATAACAGTCCCCCTCTTTTTCTTTGATCAGGCTTAAGCTTAAGCTTGCATCAACTTACAATTTTTGGCTCATTAACGTATAATTTCCTATATCTTTTGTATTGATTATAAATTTCCTGAGCACTCTGGTAATCATATTTACTTAACTTCATTACTTTTTTTGGTTTCTTCAGGTTAATCTCTTTAGAGATCCTTAGGTTATTCTGTACAGCAGACGTCACTATTTTAATTAAACAGGGAAATAAGAACAAAGTAACAAGTGTACACACAGTGAAGGTGTCGTGGACTCTCCGCGTGTGGTGACACAAGGCTTGACTCCATTTCAGAAGGCTGATTTATTATGTTAAATATTATATTAAAATACTACATTAAAACTATACTAAAGAACAGAGATATCAGAAGACTCAACAAGAATAGAACAGAATAGAATAACAAAATGCTGTGACTGCTCACAGCCTTGGCACAGGTGGCTGTGATTGGTCATCAATGGAAAACAATCCACATGGACCAATCACAGATGCACCTGTTGCATTCCACAGCAGCAGATAGCAATTGTTTACATTTCTCTCCTGAGGCTCCTCAGCTTCTCAGGAGAGGAAAAATCCCAGCAAAGGATTTTTCATAATATCATGGCTACACCTCAGGTTGTACAGGATCTCAGAAGGAAAAGCTCCATTGAATTAAGCTGCTGCCACACTGGCCCTCTTTGCCTGTCAGACACATTCAGCTGCTCTTGCACTGCCCTGTGAAAATCCCCATAAAATACAAGTGAAAATCCCTCATCTCCTGTGAGAAAGCACAGCTGGGCTCTGCTCAGGGCATTTCAAACTACGTGGGGTAGTTGTGACCTCCCCTTGCAAAGGCAGCATCTCAGGAAAACCAAAAGTTTCTTTTCATGGACTCACCACACTCAGGACACCTTCCCCTAGATCAGGTTGCTCCAAGTCCCATCCAACCTGACCTTGAATATTTCCAAGGGTGACACAATCTCAGCTTCTCTGGAACCTGTTTTGCTCCTCCCAAATCTAAAATCACACCCAACTTAGCAGCCTCAGAGATAGATTTCTACTAAATAGCTGCATTTTTCTAGGAAAGAAATATGGCAAACCTTGCTTGCATCTAACTTTGCAAAATCAACACAAGCTCTTCAGAAAGGGCTGCCACCCACTTTTCTTATTTTTCCCCAGTTGGTGGAACATTTTCATTCTGTTGTTGTTTGGAGCAGTATTTTAATAGATCTGGCTGAGGCTGCTTAAAATAGCACAGCAAGATACTTGTGTGAGGGGTGGAAAACTGAGCTCTTGCACATCCAGTGTTTCTGTTGTTGGAAGTCTTAAATCCCACCTCTCTTGTGCGATGAAATAGGTGCTACTAATCCAATACCTAAAGTATCATGCATCGAGCTGACACTATTTTAAGACTTAAAAAAAAGGAGCCAATTTAAACAAATGTCTGCTCCTTTCCATTTTCTCTGTTGCACAGTTTATGACAGAAGACAGGAGAGAAAGATTGTTTTGGGAACAATGTTTTCAGGACTCGAAAAATAATATCAAACCTGCTCTTCCACACTCTCAGCTGTTACAGCCCCAAAAAGCACCGGCTGTCTTTGCTCACAGAGTCACAATTGGGGTGGGATTTCTTCCCCACCACAGGACAGCCAATTTTTTTTTTTTTTTTGTCCTGGAAATAACTACAGCACTTCTGGGTAGCAAGGCAAACATGTGCCTCTTCTAATGGCCCTTGAAACTGGACATGTGAAATGAGGTAGACAAAGCCAAAGGCCAGCTGAACCTGTGATCTCTGAATGGCTTTCTTTTGTATTGATTATAAATTTCCTGAGCACTCTGGTAATCATATTTACTTAACTTCATTACTTTTTTTGGTTTCTTCAGGTTAATCTCTTTAGAGATCCTTAGGTTATTCTGGTACAGCAGATGTCACTATTTTAATTAAACAGGGAAATAAGAACAAACTAACAAGTGTACACAGAGTGAAGGTTATAGTTT